AAAAGAAACTGTAGAAAGAATAATTGAAGCTCAAAGGTAGCAGAAGAAATGAAATAATAAAGATTATGACAGAAGTAAATGAAATACACGATAGAAAAACAATAGAAAAGATCAATATAACTAAGAATTTTTAAATAATTTTTAAGCTGGCCAGCCTTTAGTAAGACTAAACAAGAAAAAAGAGGTTGATAAGTAAAAGTATAAACTTGAAAGGAGACATTACAACTGACACCATAGAAATATAAAAACCATAAGAAACTATTGTGAGCAATTATATGCCACTAAATTGTACAACCTAGAAAAAATTGATAAATTTTTAGAAAAATACAACTTTCAAGGACTGAATCATAAACAGAAAACCTGAACACACCCCAAAACCAGTAAGGAGATTGAATCATTTAAAAACCTCCAAACAAAGAGAATCCCAGGAACAAACAGCATTACTGGAGAATTCCACCAAATATGTAAAGAATTAACACAAATTACCCTCAAACTCTTCCAAAAAAGTTGAAATAGAGAGAACATTTCCAAACTCATGTTTTGAGGCCAGCAGTACCCTGTTACCTAAGTCAGACAAGGACACAACAAGAAAAATTTTTTAAAATAAATTAATTAATGACATTGAGGAGGTCAAAGGATGTAAAATTTTAGTTGAGTTGAAGATATCTATTTTACAACATAATGACTATAGTAAATATTACTGTATTCTATTCTTTAAAAATTTAAATGAGAAAAAACAAATAAAAATGACTACTACTGCATCACGGCTTATTATAGAAAATATACGGAAAAAAATTAGAAGCCAATATCCCTGACAAACATACATGCAATATTGTCAACAAAATACTAGCAAACGATATTTGCTAGCATTTTGCTGGACATGGGAGCTCACACATGTAATCCCAGCACTTTGGTAGGTCAAGGTGGGAGGATTGCTTGAGCACAGGAGTTCGAGATCAGCCTGGATAACATAAGGGACCTTGTTTCTACAAAAAAATCAAAAAAAATTATATGGGTGCGGTGGAACATGCCTGTAGCCCCAGTAACTCGGGAGGCTAAGATGGAGGTATTGACTGAGCCCAGGATGTTGAGGCTGCTAGGAGCTGTGATTGTGCCACTACTCTCTAGCCTGGGCGACAGAGTAAGACCACAATTCAAGAAAAGGAAAAGAAAAAGCATTTGACAAAATTCAACAACCTTTCATGATAAAAATTCGTAACAAATTAGGTTTCAAAGAGATGTACCTCAACACAATAAAGAATGTTTCTGACAAGCTGACAGCTAACATCATACTCAATGATACATTAGAGAAAGATTTCATTTAATTTTAGGACAAAGACAGGAATGCTCAGTTTCACTACTTGTATTCAGCACATTACTGGAAGTCCTAGACAGAGCACTTAGGCAAGGAAAGAATAAAAGGCATCTAAATTGGAAAAGAAAAAGACAATTTGTTTCTGTTTCCAAATGACATGATCTCATGTATAGAAAACCCTGGAGACTCCGCCAAAACAGTGTTAGAACTAATAAACTCAGTGAAGCTGCAGAATACAAAATCAACATATAAAAATCAGTTGCAATCCTATAACAATGAACTATTCAAAACAAAAATTAAGTAAACAATTACATTTACAATAGCACCAAAAAGAATAAATATTTAGGAATAAACTTTATCAAGAAAATGAAAGATTCATACACTGACAGCTATCAAACATTAATGAAAGAAATTGAAGACACCACAAATAAATGGAAAGATCCTGTGTTCATGGATTGAAAGAATTCATATTGTTAATACAGCCATGTTATCCAGAGTGATTACAGATTCAATGCAATTCCTATAAAAATTCCAATGATATTTTTCACAGAATTAGAAAAAAAAATGGTAAAATTCAAATGGAACCCCAAACACCCCAGATAGCCAAAGAAATCTTGGGAAAGAACACGGCTGAAGGCATCATTATTCCTAATTTCAATAGTATCCATAGTAATCAAAACAGTATGGTATTGGCATAAAATAGACTGATACAAATAGAACAGCATAGAGAGCCCAGAAAAAGGCCCTGCATGTAGGGTCAACAGATCTTCGACTCAGATGCCAGGAATAAATTATGAGGAAAATACAGTCTCTTGAATAAACAATATTGGTAAAACTGGATATCCATATGCAGAAGAAAAAATTGAACTTTTACTTTTACCATATATAAAAATCAATTCAGATGGATTAAAGTTGTGAATATAAGACCAGAAACCTAAAACTCTTAGAGAAAATATAGGAAGTACACTCCTTAATACTGGTCTTATCAATGATTTTTTTGGATACAATACCAAAAGCACAGGCAACAGAAGAAAAATGAACAAGATTCCATCCAATTAGAAAGCTTCTGCACAGCAGAGTAAACAATCAACAACCACAAAACAGGCAACCTACAGAATGAAAGAAAATATTTGCAAACTATCTAAAAGAGGCTATCATCTAAAATGCATAAAGAAGTCATAATAGCAAAAATCCAATTAAAAAATGGGCAAAAGGCCTGAATAGACACTTCTCCAAAAAATACATACAAATGGATAACAGGTACATGGAAAGGTGCTTGAACACTGCTAATCATCAGAGAAATGCCAATAAAAACCACAATGAGATATCATCTCACAGAGCTATGATGGCTATTATCAAACATACAAGAAATAGCAAGTGTGAGAATGTATGTGGAACAAAGACACCACCAGTGGGAATGCAAATTGGTACAGCCATTATGGAAAAACTATGTGGAGATGCCTCAAAAAAGTAAAAATAAAACTACTACTGATCCTGCAATCCCGCTACTAGGTATACATTAGAAGGAAATGAAATCTGTTTCCCAAATCTGTTTATCATATTCTTTGCAGCATTGATTCCAATAACCAAGACATGGGATCAAGTACACACACACACACTCACACACACACACACACACACACACACACACACACACACACACACGAATATTATTAAGCCTTAAAGAAGAAAATTTTGTCATTTGTGACAACATGGAAGAAAGTAGAGTACATTAAAAATATATAAAATATATATATTATATATATATAATTTTTTTTAAGAGATAGGATCTTGTTCTGTCACTCAGACTGGAATAGAGTAGGCACTCTCAAACTGCTGGGCTCAAGCAATCCTCCTGTCTCAGCCTTACAAGTAACTAGAACTATAGGTGAGTACCTCCACTCCAGGTTAATTTTTTATGAGTAGTATTTTTAGAGATGGGTTCTTGCTTTGTTGCCCCAGCTGATTTTGAACTCCTGGCCTCAAGTGATCCTCTAACATTGTATCCCAAAGTGTGTGATCACAGCATGAGCCACTGCTCATGACCTCAATTAAAATAATTTTATTATTTTATATATAATAATTGAAAGTTTATTATAGTTCTATAAATAAACAAATATACTCCTATGCTTTAACAGAACACTGAGGACTAAAGTAATGAGTTGAATAATGAATAGAAGTTAGGTGCTACAAATTTTCACCATCCCAATTATTTTCTACATTGTATTATTTTGGGAGAGTGGAGTATTTCAACCACATTTCACAAAATTTGGGCTGGCTTCCAGAAGAAATTATTACTAAGTTCTCAAAAAAAATCTAATTTAGCAAGTTAATTTCTAAATATTAAATATTCATAAAAGTTCTAAAGTAACTATGCAATGGCTTAAAAAAAACCCAAAAAACTATATAACCAAGAAATAAAGGACAAGACAAAAATGTGACAATCATATTATTTTTAATCACTATTTAGTAAGTTCTATAGATGAAACCCCTTTTCCTTTCAATTATAATCTGAATAAACCAAGTGACATCTGATCAATATTTCCATATGAATTTTGGAAGTAAAATTATATATTCTCAACATTAGAAAATTTTAAACTTATATAGAAATAATTTCTGGCATATTTCTGACTATATCACTATGCGAATCAATCAATACACAATGAAGAAATAAATTTATCTAATTAATTTCCATAGCTAAGTTACTGAGTAGTAATTTGTACTCATGTTTCTTGAAGAGTTTAGTAATTGCCTTAAGTGTTAAGTCAACGTTACAAATAAAAGGCATCATTCTTCCAGTAAACATGATTTTAAAAACTACTACTCACACAAACGATTATGTGGCAATTAATATAAACAAAACATGCAAACATTTCTAGTCAGAGAAAATAAGCTGTCATTTATTAACATAAATGGAAGGAATGACCTGCAAATCTTTAAAAGATTGTAAAACAAAAAGCTTGAACAGGGGCTAGCACAAATGAACTATTCAGATAACCATGTAAGTTCAATCTAATCAATCATAAAATAATAAATGAACAAATTCCAAAATGTAGGGTTTTCCTTCTTGAAAGTATAAACTAAGAACACAAAACTTGACTTCAAGAAGAAAGAACATCCCGATTATTTCCTAGAAATAAATCTGATGTCTTCGTCAGTCTACCACTAACCATAACAAAAATAAAACAGGCAGCACATACTTGTATACAACATAGATTAAGAAATCCATAACGAGAAGTAATGGGTTTTAAGGAGGTAACTGTTAAATGTTGATAATCCTAAAATTTAACAAAAGATTAAATTATATTCAGTACATACTGAAGCAAAAAATAAAGATTACTAAAACACAGCAAGTAGTTCAAGTGGGAAAACATTTTTAGTTAACCCTCAGTTAAGGTATAAAATTAATCAGAAATCCCAGACATCCCAATTATTTCAAGTTTTGATGCAATTTTTAGTATACTATTCACTGAAAAATTTTTGTGTATCACTTGTTAGTTCTATGAGAATTGTTAAAGAAACATTCATTATCATAGACCTTGACAGACCTTCTTTATCAAGGGTCAATAAACAGTATAATTCAAGTCAAGAAATCAATACATGCCATCATTTTGGACAAGAACACCATTCATTTTGTAATGAAAATAATGAATGGTCATTAGAAGTAAATACTGTTAACACTTACCTGTATTTTAATAGGCCAGGAAAAGTTGCTGACGTACACATAGAATGTAATGTTAGGATTGCTTCTAAAGTTAAATTTTTCATAGGAAAAACTGTCTCTGTATTCCTTTATGTTATTCTTGTAAACTATTGTAGTCTCCTCCCCAGATATTGTTCCAGCTAAAATGTAAATAATAATAACACATTTAAATAATTCATATTGGAAAATACATCTTTATAAACTTACAAATGCATATCATACTTAGATTTTTTATAATTGCTCTTATAAAAATAAATTATCAAAATACAATCTTTTAAAAGAAGGAAAATGTTAGCCATACATATAATGGAAATAGAGTTAGTATAAAAATTACTTTTAAAGTTGCTACCACTGAGTGCTATGTACGAGGCATTAGTTTAGAGACTTTATATTCTTTTCTAATAAAAATTCTATCTCAGCGGTATTATCATCTGTATTTTTCAGACTGAAATCTGAGTTTCAGAAAGAAACTAAGCAGTTTATAGCTACTGAGCAGTAAACTCCTCTTTGAAACTCAGGTACACATAGTTCCAGAAACAACTCTTTCTACTTATGACTCCACAGAGCCATTTTGAAAGAAATCAGATTATATCTTTGTGTGTCTCAATCCAATTAAAAAATGGAAAAGAAATCAATTTATATATCTTAACACAAATTGAATTATCACTACTTTAAATAAATTGGTTGGAGGCCATAATTTAAAACATGAACTATATGTTCAATTACTTAACACATATTGGGTGCTCAATAAGTATTTACTGAATTTAATCAAATGGAATAAAGCACTTTCAACAAGACCTCTACTTTAATTAATAGCAAAAGTAATTAGAATTAGTATACTGAGTAACTGGGTTAATTTTTAACTAACCACCTATTTCAAAATTACCTTGTGTGCTTTTTGAAAATTCAGATCCCATGACCCCATCTCCCAACTTGATAAACCAAAATTTCTGAGATTTGGTTCTGGAAATCTAAAAGTACATGCGATTTCTTGCATGACAAAATTACTGTTCTAAAGTAATTAGAAATGTTTTATATATTTTCATAGACACATTTGATAACTTTTATAGAGTTTTTATTGGACAAAAATAAATTTAAAATTAACATGACAAGGTATGATTTGTTCATTAATTATACACATAGTGCCAAGACTATTGCCTCATGTCTGGCACTATAATAACAAAATGTTCATATTTGCCTGAGCTTTTCATTTTCACATGTAATATAAATTCTGGAACTGCAAAAGATCTCTTCATTCTTCAATTCTATGTATCTATGATTCTACCTATTAAAACAGCATAATGACTTAATTTTCAGAAATCAGATATGTATTTCTAAGAATCTATAAATTTTCTATACAAAAAAACAATGTCTAGCACATGTATGCTACCACATAACTTTGATATAGAAAATAGAAGACAAAAGACTTTTCAAAGACATGAGTATAAAAAAGTAAGCATACATTCTCATAACTCAACATAAAGATTTGAACTGCTTCTTAGTTAAATTTTCAAAAGTCAGTAATTTCAATTTTTTTATCTTACTGTGGAAGACATTTTACGTGCAGGTTTTCTAACCACTCTTAGTTCACAGCTGACAAGAGAGGTTATATTTCTAAGCCTAACAATAATAAATTATTGTTTTTATCAGCATTCCCAGAGGAATTTCATTGTTTTATATAAATATTAAGGTTAATAATTAAATTTATAGCTTCAATAGTGAATCAAATAATTGAAAACTTAGTCTCTTTAGTCATTAAAGAAGTAATCTATCTTAATTAAAATCACATTTCATACCACTGCCATTTAAAAAAATTAAGTAGTGTATATTTGTTACCCATATAATTTTAATTGAATAAAGGAGAAAGCTCACATAGTAATGAAGCTTTATTCATTTTTCTACTTATTTTTATCAGTCACAGCAAAATGAATATGCCATACTGTATTTTATGAATTTCATTTATTTCATTAACAGTAAAAGACCATGTTAAAACAATGTCCAGATAGGAAAGCATGTGAAAGAGACATGAAACCAAATTGTGTTTACCTGTTGAACCAACCGACCATGTAATGTTGAGATTAAAGTTGTTTGATGCATTAATTGATATATCCAAATTTTTGTTCGACTACCAAAAAAGAAAATATTAAGGTTAAAAGTAGAAATTATGCTAAACAGGTATGATTTAGCCTACTGATTTAATTATGTCAATATTTTATTTCTCATCCTCTATACAGCTTGTAAATATTCAAATGGATATGTGTAATGTCATTTACACATTCTAATGAAGAAAATATAATAAATTCAAAGGTAGATTTAAAGTTCCTCATTTATGTTCTCTACTATAATTTAGACTTATATAGGTTAGTCAGAGGCTCCTGTAATTTAATATTTGTAGTTTGATTCTCTTTGGCTATAGTTGATATTTAAATGATTAGGTTTGGATTAGCTCAAAGTAATTTTATAAAAGTATAAGATTTTTTGTTGAAAGACCTCTTGTTAGGTGTGTATTTTAATTATTACACAGATATAATCTAGCAGAAAAAATTTTTTAAATACATAAACTAAAACTTTCAAGTAAAAATGATAGACCTACTCTGATAAAAGAGCAAAGCACATGTTTAAACAGTTACACAGAGGAACACAGAATTTAATTTTATGTCAGTCAACCTGCTTCTTGTCATTTATTAGAACATAGACTCTTTTCTCTTAATTTCAGGGAAATTAATGCCTAAGGAATTTCTTTACATGTTGTTTGTGATTTTCTCACTCCAAGAGGTGAGGGACAAAAATAGGTATGATTATAAGCATGCAGTACTGTGGGAAGGCAAAGAATGAGAGTCATAATGGATATGTTTAGATTCAAATATTGAGCGTATTATGCTTTGTTTTTAATATACAAATACTTGTAGAAAAAATTTATACTGATAAGTGAGATCTGGCTAGTAAAAGAGAGAGTGGAAGAGAGAGAGAGAGAGAATATTAATTCTTTAGTATTTCTTTTTTTTTTTTTCCTCACTCTAAATACGATAGAGAAGGTAAGTCAAGACAAAATATACTCCCAATTTTCTGGGTGTCTCTTAGAAAAAATAAACATATAAGTAAGTATATTTCCCATTTCCATTTCAGTCTTTGGGGGGAACCTGACAAAAGGAAATGGCCCTTCCCTGAAGAATAGCAATAGAAATAAGGAGCACTGTAAAAGACAAAGTCTTCTGAATGATGTGTGATAGTCATCCCATTTGAATGATGTATAAGCCCCTTGTACTCTCAAATAACATCCACTCTTAATGATTTCCCTACACGGAGGGACAGTTTAGCTGCTATAAAGAACGATTAACAGTGTTCCACATCCATCAAATGGTATTCTCCTCACAGTTTCCAGGAGACAAATATAATTTCAAGAAAAATGATCATCTTGAAACAGCATACAAAATAAAGTTTGTTATAATATGATTAAATTATTGTCATACATATTTTCCAGGGTATTGCTCATTAATATTACAGAGACAGTATTTGAGAATTTGATACAATCAAAAATAAAGTCTTGGATTCTAAATATATACAGTAAGTCACAAGGATATGCCATTTTTCACCACAGTCATAATCAGCAATGGCCATAAGTACAAAAAGGAAGTTAACTTCCTTCTTATATTTTATTTATTATCAAGTAATAGAATTATCTGATTAATTCTACTGCTTTTATGTCAGCAAGCAGGTAGGTGTAGTCAATAGATTATGTTGTTCAGTTTGGTATGCAAAAGTCTATTTTTAAAAATACCTACTAATGTAGTAGTAAAGAGAAATCCAAATATCAAAGGAAGAAACACCTCTGCCTGGTGACAAATACTGATTTATGTTATCATAATGAATTAACCAGATGTGGAAGCCAATAACCACTTCATGTTCAGTAAATCATCTTCATGAGACAATGAAAAGAATTAGTGAAGAGTGTGCATTGTTGAGTCAAATGACCTTAGAGTCAAATCTTAGCTCTTTAAAAGATGTATTGACTGATAGGGGAACATTATTTGTTCTTTCCAAAAATCAGTTTTCTTATCTCTTAAATGAGGATAAAATAACATCCTCCAGAAAATACTTGTGAACGTTAAATGAGATAATTTCTCAAAAACGTATGGTTTCAGGCATAATGCTAGTAATTGTGATGTTGTTACTATTAGGTCTAGAGACATGGTATTTATGATTTTCCTTCTCTTTCATAAATTTCATCTTCACCCAGAGGACCAAAAAAAAGACATGCTCATCAAACTCTGAGAAGAGGTGAATTTTTTAAACTGTTTAAGAAGTGATTAAAAAATAATTGCTTTTTTTTGAGCTGGAGTCTCACTCTATCACCCAGACTGGAATGCAGTGGCCGCTCCCGGCCACCGCAGCCTCCACCTGCTGGGCTCTGGCGATCCTTCCGCCTCAGTCTTCCAAGTAGCTGGAACTACAGGCACGCGCTACCACGCCTGGCTAATATTTTTGATTTATTGTAGAGATGAGGTCTCACCAAGTTGCCCAGGCGGGTCTCGAACCCCGGGGCTCAGGCAATCCACTCACCTCAGCCTCCCAAAGCGCGGGATTACAGGCTGAGCCACCAAGCCCGGTTCAATTGCTTTTTTAATGAAAGCAAAACATGGCTCAAACAGTATACCCCAAGAAATCTTAAATCCATATTTTCTCTTCATAACTGTGTATGCCTTATTCTGGGTGAGATAAATATGAAAATGACCTTTGCTATTGTTAAAAATATCAAACAAAATTTCTAATTGATATAAAAAACTATAAAATTCTTCATGAACTTTTAGTCCATCCTCTATCAAGTTTAAGTATTGCCAAAATATATAGAACCATTACTAAATCCCTTTAAAAAACATTTAGAGTTTAACAATGCTGCAATAAAAAAGCAATATCATGGTTATATCAAGAAATGACAAAAATCACTCATTTAGAACACTGATGATTAGAGATGAATAAGTTCTGCCAAATAATGCTATGCAGAAATCTATTCCAGAAGTTGTTCATACGAAGACACTGGCTATAAGTGAGTTAAGATTAAGTCTGCTGTCAAAATGTAGAAAGTATATAAATAAATAATTTAGGTATCTAATTTTTATTATTATCTAGTAGGTATTGGACAATAATCCATATTAATTCCGAGACTGTTCCTAGATGAATATATCTTTAATTGAAGGGGATTACACAAAATAATGCTATAAGCATTCTTAGGGGTGCCTCTCATGTTAGTTTTGCATCCTTAAGCATCAGAGAACATGTGTCTGCGCTCTTGGTGTCAATTGGACAAGATAGTAGAAAGAAAAATTGAAAGCTGGGACATTTAGAAGTACTTGGGATTTCTGGAAATTGAAAGAGGCAAAGACGATGAAAAGAGAAGCAAACTAGAATTGTGACTGATGTGGACATAAGTGTATGACCCTATGGATAATATGGGAAAGAAATATTATTCACTTCCAATTTTGAGTCAAATATCTCACTTAATTAAATTTCTTAGATACTCAACCCCACAGATTTGAAATAGCTATAAAATATTTATGAAGTCAATAGTAAAGAATGAACTTGGATGCTCCAACATGGATAAACCCTGAAAACATTATTATAAGTTAAATAAGCCAGACACAAAAGGACAAATGATAACACATATTAAGGACTTAGAATAAGTAAATTCATAGAGATAAAAGGTAAAATAAAGATACCAGGGGCTGGTAGGAAGAAGGGAATGAGGAGTTATTGCTGAATGGATACAGCGTTTCTGTTAGGGATGATGAAAAAGTTTTATACATAGATAATGGTGATTATTGGACATTACTGTAAATACACTTAATGCCACTGAATTGCACACATAAAATCGTTAAAATAGTAAGTTTTACTTTATGTATATTTTACCATGATAGAAAATAAGTCAGTGATGATTAAAATGCACTTGTAAAACTTTCTTATCACATTGATGAATGTCATTTCTGGAAATATTAGTATATCTTTATCGAAACAAAGATACTCTGTGAAGAAAGGAATGTATTTGAAAGAAAGTATCTTTAAACATATTTCACCAAAATATAGTCATTCATTAAAATCTAGGAAATAAGAAGTAGATTGTTCTTTTCTTTTTTGGTGATGGGGGGCAGGATTCTATTTTACTAGAAAAGGAAAATTTAAGAAAATATTTTATTATTTGCCAGCAAGTCCAATAAAATATTTTAAAATAAAAAACGGAAATGGTAGGATATAATTAGATTTCACCTATTTGAATGACCATTAAGATAAATGTATGCACTTAATAATATGAATTACTTCATTAAAAAGCATAATTAACATAATATCTTCATTTTGAATTAGTAGTTTTTAGTTTCAGAAGAATTAAAATTCCACCCAAATAAACCATATGGTTGATATTTCCATTCCCTGAACTTTTTCACATAATAAGGTGTCAGTTGGATAGCAATATATGTGTGTTATTTCTAAGTAAACTTAGTACCATCTCCTGAATTGTTGGGATTAAAATTCACAATTAATCTTTAATATAATATAATGTCAAAAGTTTGTAAGATTATATCACTGTTGTGGTAAGTTCCTTAGAGAAGCCAGCATGCACATATCTTAAATAAACCAGTGGGTTTAGAAAAAAGACTGAAAACCTAATAGTATGGAATGATATAAAAGAAGAAAATATATTTACTATAGCATGTTTTGAATTCATGGGTTTTATTTTTAAACAAGAATATTCTGAGTTTCATTGTATAATTGTCAGCATAAATTTCATTATAAGAATGTATAGAGAGAAGTAATACATAATTTAGAGTATAGGACTGTGCAAAACATGAAATATCAAACTCAAAAATTCTTTGAACAGCAAAAATATCTAAGTTTCATTAAAAAAAAAAACCCCAAAATAAAACAGAATATCTTTCCTGCAAAGACAATGTGAAAATTCTGAGAAGAGGTAAAATCACAATGAAAGATGACAAAAAAGTTGTATCCATTGATACTAGTACAATTACATTGTAAAAGATAATATTCATTCCTCACCTGTTCTGGGTTTGCTATAAAGTTTATGGCAGTATGGTGACGATCATCTTCCTGTAATAAGCTGAAGGTAAACTGATAGTCAATCAAAAGGCTGTCTGTGGGGGGAAAAAAGAAGTAGAACCCTGATGTGTACTTATACAAACTATCTGAAAAACAAGTTAAGTGAAGATATGTTACACACTGGTATGGAAGATAATTATCATTACATACCAGTGGCCTATTTAAGTTTAGTAAAATATAAATTTTTGTCATCAACAATAAGCAAACCATAGATATGAAAGAAATTCTAATTCCTTAAACATTATATTTATTATTTCTGCTGTTATTACAAAAGGACAACAAAAACTTTATAAACATGCTGAAAACTATACAAAAATAAGAGAATAAAATAATAATAATCCATAATCTTATACCTAGAAAGAAATAAGGTTAGCATTTTGGGGCTTTTATTCCAGTTAATATTCTGTAAATACAGACATTTTGGTACAACTTTAAAACTTTCATAAAATCAAAATTCTTTGAAAATATGAACTTTGATGGCTCAATAATATTTCATTATTTACTGTAATGCATTGAGTTGCTTGTTTCCTATTGTGGTTATTTCTACTTTTAGCAACTTTGAAATGATTCTATGATATGCATCATTTTTAAGATGTGACCTTTATTAAAGTTGAAACATTTAAATATTACAGATTATGAGTGGGTGACCTACATTACATGGGGGCGAAGTATGGCTCATAATATCAAACTATTACTTTTATTAAAATTTCAAATTAGTTTAAATAAATAGAGATTGAATCTATCTTTTGGATATATACTTTCATGTTATGCCTTCAGCCATTAAAAACTATTAATATAAAGGTTACAGATAGGATCACTATAACGGGATTTACTGTTAAAACTATAAAGGCATCATTCATGTTGCTTACTTGTATATTTTATAAGATTCACCCTGCATATTTCTCATATAATTTAGTATAAGAAAATATTTTATCTTTCAAAGAATTTATAGGTATCCTTATATCTCATAATGAGAATTATCCAATAAATCTTATTTTCAGTTTTCATCTGACTATCCCAAAAAGGCAGAGGAAAATTCAATGTACCAGTGTTGTTCTAGGCCATGAAGATATAACAATAAAAGATAAAAATTTCTGTCCTCATGCTACTTATATCATATTGGATGAATATTGGCAATTAATAATTTAAGTAGATAGTATATCAGATGATGATAAGTCTTCTGGAGAAAAATAAACCAATGAAGAGAGGAGGAAATTGCTTTCAGGATAAGTATGGTTCGATCTTTGACAAGGATCATTTAAAGACAAAAGATAATTGGAGAACAAGCCATGAAGTTTACTGGATAAAACGTATTCCAGCAGGAGAAAACAAGTACAAACACCTCAAAGCAAGAACAACCCTTAACTGTGACAATAGTGCAGGCAAGAGGTAATGGAAGCCAGGTGATATCAGTGAGGGTCATAAGAAGTGGTCAGATACAGGGAACATATTTTTAATGTACAGCAAACTAAATTAGCTAAATAAATAAATTCACTCTTTGAAAGAAAGAAAGGTAAAATATTGTTTGTTTGTTTGTTGTGTTTATTCCTAAGACCAAGCAAAAGTCACCATTAACTGAGATACAGAATAGGTTTTACTGTGGTGGGAGTTAGAGGAATAATTAGGAGCTGAAGTTTTGAAAATGTCAGGTTTGAGATAGTCATTGAATAGCCAGATATTGGGTCAAGCCTAGGAGCATGTCCAGTAGATAACAATTTGTAAATCATCAGCATTTAAATTTAGTTCAAAGCTGTGGAGGCAGAAAATCAACTTTGTAAATAGATAAGAGGACCAAAGGAATATGACTGTTAAATGATCACATCCTAAAGAGAAACCAGCAAAGGAGACTGAGAAGTGGCAACCTACAGTTTTTAAAAGAAAGAGCAGTGATCACCTTGGTCAAAAAAAGCAGACATAGATTCAGAAGCAGGTCAGCAATCTTAAGAAAAGATAATATCTATTAATATTTAGAATGAAGAAAAAATATCACTAAGGAAAAAAAGCAAGCACTTCAAAACTACTTTCACAAATTCGTCTGCACAAATATCTTTATTTTTTCAAGACTGAAACTTTGCATTAAGAAGTCAGGAGTGAATGGCCTGTAGGAGGTAGAAAATGGGTGATTTACTACACAAGGAAGTCCTGAATAAAGGCTGCAGTGTCCCAGGCCTACTGACATTTTTCTGCCTTTTAAACTCCAGCCTCTGCCACAAATATATCCAACCAAATTATTGGCCAGGCATTCAAGTTTGATTTTCCTTCTTCTTGTTTTTTCTTACTTATTAAAGTTGAAAGTACTAAATCAGTGCAATGTACCTTGTGTACGATAATGATCAATCCTAATGTCAGTTAGGCTAAAAAATATAAGCCTAAATGCTAGAACAAAAGTAGTAGGATTATTACTCAATTTAAGGGACTGGTAAGAATACCATTCAGTGAATGTGAATTACTACAAACTGAAGACAGAAAATTAAGACTTCTACAAAAAATATTTCTTTTTAGAGCTGCTTAGAATGAAAGTGTCCCAGAAGTGAGCTACACAATTTTCCACTTAGGCAAGAGATTATATATTTCTCCCCAGAATTTCAAAACCATGTTGGTATGTTTGTAGGGAGGTTATAAATGAATTACTATTTGGCATTTAAAACATGTTACTTCATGCTTAAATATGCTCAGAACTTTTTTGATATGTAGGGTATAGGATGTAAAACATTAAAATTTAAAATATGTCTCAAGTTTTGAAAAAGTACATACTTTGAAAACAAGTTTTTATGCTGCATTTATGAACTAATCTACTGTGGAATAAAGCTATAAGTATATGGTATAAAGACTATAAGTCAATTCAAATAATGTATTGCTTTGTTGATAAAAACAGAAATGACAAATGAGCAAGAGAAATAAGTGTGATCAAGATAATATAAGAGAGCTTCTTTTTAGATTAGAGAAATAGTATGTTTTTATGCTAACTGGAAAAAATTAGTAGGTGGGTAAAAGGTGATGAGATCTAGTGCAAAAAATAAAGACTGGGTATACTCAGAGTGCAGACAGGAAATCATATACATAGAGTAAGTAGGGAAATGTGGGATCATATGGAAGCTGTCTTTATATTGCCTCTGTTTCCTCAGTAAAATTGGAAAGACTATCTATCAGCTGAGAATGAGAATAGGTATGAAGTATTAGGTAATGAGAGAGGGAAAAAGAGACTTAAAATAGTCATCAAAAAGGGAAAGTAATAGACTAAGAAAATATAGCGTAAGATTACTGAACATGAATCTGAATTGAGATTAATTAGCAAATTGTATGTTTTTCTATAGCTGAGTACAGAAAAAGCTGAGAATTGAATTTATCTTGTATTAGAGTTTTTTCAAATATAGAGGATGAAGTAAAAAAATGTCAACATAGTTGAGGATATATGCATAAAAGTGTATTATCTATAATACTAATTTAAAAATATATTCTTAATAGACCATAGGTACCACCAATTAAAATCTCTGCATTTTAATTTTACATTCTACGTGTATTTTAAGGTTATTGTACACATGTTTTAATAATATCACATTTACTTGTTTACTCAATAATCATTGACTAAGTTCCAATCACATACCAGAAAGTATAAAGCAAAAATGATAAAATACACATTTGCTATCGTCAAAGAACAAGCAGTTTAATAGAAAAGATAATTAGAACAAAATTTCAATAAACAATAAAATGTATTACATGAATTAGGACAACATCAAGTACACAAAGATCAAGGGAACAAGAGATAGTACAAGTTAGCCTAGATGGACATATGATAGAAAAAAATCTGTTGTTGATGAACCAAACTTAAATATTTTAAAAAGTACCTTGTATGAAATATAAAAATATTACAACCAATGTTCATAATAGCCAAAAAATAAAAACAACCCAAGTGATAAATGGTAAATAAAAGGTGCTGTGTCCACACAATGAAGTATGATCTGACCATAAAAAGGGAGTACTGATATCTGCTATAACATGGATAAACGTAAAAAATAATATGCTAAAAATAAATAAAACAATTATTTCATTTATATGTTATGTCCAAAATAGACAAATCAATAGAGACAGAAAGAAAATAAGTGGTTGCTAAGGGCTGGGGAAATGGAGAATGAAGAATGATTGCTAATATGTACAAAGTTTCTTTTTAGGGTTATAGAAATATTCTTAAATTAGACAGTGGTGATTTGCACAAGTTTGTGAGTATACTAAAAACTACTTTATATGAATTGCACATTTGAGGCATGTTTTATCGTATGTAAATTATATCTTTATAAAGTTGTTATTTAAAAAAACTATATATATCCGGGCACATTCATGGGAATATGTGCGTATGTGCATACAGACACACACACACACACACACACACACACACACCGTCACACAAATGTTATTTACAAAGAAAGATTAGACAAGAAGATAACTTTTCTTAAAAAATGTCAAAAAAGAAATGAAGCAATATTGATGGAAAATATATATACTCAGCAATGTTGTCCACACACAAGAACAACATAATGATAATTTCAAGTAAGCAAATGTCTTAAAAAACATGATCTACCTATTCATTTTGAAAAAAAATTCACATACATATTGCAACTAAGAGACAAATACAAATATGAAAATGACATAGAAACGGTCTGGCACTGAATAGATGACAGATTTAAATTAGAGGAAAATATAATTTTATAAAATAGCATATAAGTATTTTTGAAAGAAAACAAAATTATCTTTTTGTACCTAGACTCATACTTTTTACCAAGAAATTAATATGAAACAACTATTAAATAATTTACAACTTCATTAATGTACCCAGATGTAATATAAACATATAAACAATTACAGCTTTTATTTGGGGATTATTTTATTACACTGATGATTATGCCTATCTCCACACCCCCCCAATTAAAAATTCCACAGTGCCTTAATTATTATAATTACTACTTTGCCCTTATGCCTAGTTAAAAAAAAATGTGTGTAGGAAGCTACCTGACTTTTGAATGGTAATCTTGTATCTAGC